AATAATTCTAACTTTAATAATAATTTTAATTTTAATTTTAATTTTAATTTTAATTTTAATTTTAATAATAATTTTAATTTTAATTAATAATGTTGCCATCGCTGATTATCACAGCCGTCATGTGTGGTTGATCACGTTCGAATGTGCAATGCTACCATCGCTTGGTTAAGTCAAAAGCCATCTATTATCAAGTAAACGAGACGTAAATTTTTCCTGGTCGACGACAATAATAATGCGTGGTTTACAATGGGCAGTAGCAGTAGTAGATTAAGAAGTAGATATTAGAAGTAGGCTGTAGGATTAGGGTCTCTTTATGTCTGAGTGTCTACAATGACTTAGAGCCATGCAATAACGAGTAAAAGAGCGTTCTTTATATTCATAATTATGGATGTGCGAAAAATTGGATTTATAACATTATTTATGATGTTATGGAATCAGCTCCTAATATTGCAATCGCGCATTATTCAGACGAAGAGGTCTATTATTGGTCGGAGGTGATGGGTACGACCTGTGAACAGGTGCAAACATATAGGTTTCAATCCTAATTGGGTTGAACCTATTTCGCGAACCTATTTCAACCCTAATTGGGTAATAACCTATTTCGCGAATTTGATGTTAACTGATCACGAAGAATTTTTCCGGTTTACTCGGATGTGACCAGAGCAATTTGAATTTTTGCTCAATTTGGTGCATCCATACTTGGAAAAACACAGCATTCGGAAACCTCTTTCACCTAGATTTCGTTTGAGTCTAACCTTACCGTAAGTATATACAAATCAACTCAGTATTTTTTAAAATCAGTATTTTTAAAAGCATGCACTCTGTTTGGCCTATATTTCTAAATTGACTGCCTGTACATACTGAAAACCTATAATGCACGTAACTGTAGCATTTTCAGGATAGGCAGTAAATTTGGAACACAACCTTGATGTTAATAGGTTGCTTCGTATACTTTAACATGCTCCTACTCACTTATCACAATGCAAACATTTCAATGAGTAGAAGCATGTTGGAGTATACTGTGAATTTAACAAACCGTATGCTTTTGTTTTATGTAGGTATCTTGCTCAAGGAGAAAGCATGCGGACCAAGCATCTAGAATTCAGAGTTGGAAAGTCTACAGTTTGCAAAATAGTACCAGAAGTTTGCCGTGCTATATGGTGTGCTCTACAACCCATTGTGCTTCCTACACTACATGCAGATGACTGGAGAAAAATAAGTGAAAAATACATGCTGAAGTGGCAATTTCCGAACTGTATAGGTGCTTTGGATGGCAGACACATGAAAATCAAAAAGCCTCCATCCTCTGGATCACAGTATTATAATTACAAGAACTTTTTCAGTATAGTATTACTGGCACTCTGTGATGCAAATCATAAATTTACATGGGTAGACATTGGACAGTTTGGTAAGAAACGCTAGTCACTTTTTAAATTAATGTACAGAAAAGAAATTATTAATACTAACGTTGCAATGCAATATTGATGTTTTATAGGTTCCATCAGTGATGGTGGTGTGTGGAGAAATTCTGAATTAGCTACAGACCTTGCCTCTGGTGACGCTGATATTCCACCACCAACACCTCTTCCAGGAAGACATGTTCCCTTTCCGCATGTAATTGTAGCTGATGAAGCCTTTCCGCTTAATACGTATCTCATGCGTCCTTATGCAAAACGCAATGGACTGATCGATCAACAACGTGTTTTTAATTACCGGTTCAGTAGAGCTCGCCTCTGCATAGAAAATACTTTTGGAATATTAATGTCACGCTGGCATATATTACACAGATATTTATGTTTTTCCGTAAAAAATGCAGAAGACATTATTAAAGCTCTTGTTTGCCTCCATAATTTTATTATGAGCTCTAATAATGAATCGGCCTCGCAGTATTGTCCTCCTGATTGGGTCGATGTTGAGGATGAGAACGGACTAATTCATGACGGTCGATGGAGAACTATTGGCTCTGGTGCATTTTTTCAAGAGTTGGGTAGGACTGGAGCCAATCGAGGTGGTTCGATATCGGAAGGCGTGCGTAATTATTAGAAAGAGTACTTTGTATCTCCAATTGGAGAAGCTCAAGCATCTTGGCAATATATGGGAGCTTTTCGCGGTCAAATAATGAACCCTTCCGCATAGATGTAACAATTGATAAACTTAAGTCTACATATTTCTGTGATTCTGCTGTATTCTTGATAATATAACGTCCAACTCTTCGAAAAATACACCACAGGCAACTAGGCTTTTCTAATAAATAGCGTTAAAGTAGCGTAAGTATAAGTAGCAATAGTTAATAAGAGCGTTTAAGTAGCGTTTCCTACTCTAATAGGCTTTTCTAGTAATGTACTAAAACACAAACAATCCAACAAAAAAATGTACATCGTGTTTCGCTAAGTAAGTTCGAAAAATGCTTGTCTCCTATTATTTTAATTGTAAGCAATGCACGTGTCGTTTTTAGAATAATTATTAACATTAAGTTTCAAAATATGTGCATTTACGATATATATGAATTTTATTTTCAGTATATATATATTGATTAATTATATATAAAGTAAAATTAGTTGTGCAGATATGGTCTTGAATACAGAACAAGTAATAATCTATATCTACATAAGTTTTTCTTTAAAAATGCTATTAAAATATTTATAATACTAAGAGAGAATATCTTTTTTAATAATATTATTCGGATTACATATACAATAATAATTTCAATAGTTTTAATTCTAAAAAATAATTTTCACACAGATACATATTACTTAATGTATAATAAATAAATTACTACCTAATCCTGCACTTAAATACTGCACTAATAGATTGTGTTAAAAGTATAACGAGTATTTAAGGAAAAAACTAATATTTTTGTTTATAACTGACAATTTCGTGGGTGTATGACAATAAGAAGATTGAAATAAACGATTAAACTATTAATTAAATTTTTATTGCCATCCTTCAAATCAATACAATATCAGTAATAAACTCAGTCTATTTTGGATTAATATTTGTCTTATAATAATAACGAAATAACGTATAAACGTGCATTTTTATTTATAGTCTTCTATAAAAATTTCATAATACCTATAACTATATATTGAAAATAAAGTAAACGATTAAATTGAGCGGCCAGCGGTAGCCCAATGAGAGTTATTCTTTTTCGTGACATCACGCAAAAGCATGACTTTCATTGGGCTACCGCTGCGCCGCTCTGGTCTGTAGGCATCTAAAGTTTTTCTTTGGTTTGTAGACTAGGTTTTAACAAAAAAGTATATATATAATTCAATATTGTTTTTTTTTTTATAAATGAACAATTGTTTTTATAAATAAACAATAGTAACTGAAACTAAACTTATTTTACGAACTTTTTACTTCACAATAACTTGAAGCTTAACAGAAGGCTTTTATACAGGGTGTTTCCAAATTAAATCGCAAAACTTCGGGAGCGTGTAGAGGAGTAAAAAACTAAGAAAAAAAGTCCTATAGACATATGCTCGTTTTTGCTCCGTTTCAGAGAAATCGAAAAAAAATGTTTACATTTCTTGCCATATCTAGCACCGACATATTTGATTACATTTTCCACTTTCTGTTATGAATTTGTCAGTCGCTCTTTGAAAGCCTTTAACAGTAGATGAATTTTGTCTTTTGCAATATGCCGCGTACGTATTCTAATAGTGAATATGCTGATATGGTTTTTGTATACGGTTTCTGCAACGGTAATGCTTTAAAGGCCTGGCTGCTACAAGAGCCGTGTTTGACAGATGCAATGCTTGTATTGCTGCAAGAGGTGCACATTTCGAACAAAATCTTCATTAAAAAGTTTATAAATAAAATAATTAAAATAATAAATTAAATATATTTTTTTCTTTTTTCGTGATTTCCTGCGAAACAAAGCAAAAAGGAGCATATGTCTATAGGACTTTTTTTCTTAGTTTTTTACTCCTCTACACGCTCCCGAAGTTTTGCCATTTAATTTGGAAACACCCTGTATTATTTCTTAATATCTGTCTTACAATGAGAACGAAACTGAACATTGCGACAGCACTCACGAGCGTGGTGCCACTTCGTCGCGCGTTCGCGAG